CTCGGCTGGGTCCATTCGGCCCAGGGCCTGAGCTCCGGCCTCCATGCTCCTTGGCACCCCAAAGCCTGGACCCAGACTAGCTGATTTTGGGGTACCCAGGAGAAGTGAAACAAACCTGGTCCCATTTCAGTTCCTGGGTCCTTTCATCCCCCCCAAATAAGTCTCAGCTGGCCTTTCAGCACCCCAGTCCTGCAGCGGCGCCCCCCCCCCCAACATTCAGTTCCTTCACAGCGTGTGTGACATCACCTCTGTCTAGTTCCAGAGTGTTCATCACCCTAAAGGTGACCCTGTCCCCAAAGCAGTCACTCCCAATCCACCCCTTCCCTGTGCCCCTCCCTCATGCCCTGGCAACCACCACTCTGCTTCCTGTCTCCATGGATCTGCCTGTTCTGCATATCCTGGATAATAAAAGCATAATATGCTAAGTGTCGACCGCTGGACCAGTCGCTATGATGCACACTGACCACCAGGGGGCAGATGCTCCAACCAATGGCCCCTATCGGCCCTGATCACTGGCCAGGCCGAGGGACCCCACTTGTGCACGAATTTGTGCACAGGGCCTCTAGTTTCATATAAATGGGATCACACACTATGTCGTTTTTTCTGCTCAGCCTCTCTCAGGATGAACCTCGTTTTTGAGGTTCATCCATGTTGTAGCCTGTATCCGTGCTTCATTCCTTTTTGTGGCTGAATACTATATTCCATCCACCCCCCACTTTTCCCACCGAACCAGCTGGCTGGGGCACACCATCAGCTACAGCAGCTGTGCCTGATTACTCTCCTGGTTTCTTTCTCATGGTATGAGATAGCTGGAGGAATCACACTGGACCATGACCGCTGTGCCCTCCGCAATGTGGGTGCTGAGGAGGCCTCTGCCCACCACCCGGTGGGGGAGGGCGGGAAGTACCTCGTCAAAGTAGAAGAGAACTCTGCGTCCGGCCACCTCGTACCTCTTCAGTGCCACATGCTGGCTCCGGAGCAGCTGGCGAGGAAGCCAGAGGTCAGGGTTCCCCCAGGCCCTCTGCCTGCAATGCTTGCTTCCTCCCCCATCTCTTTGGGGCCTAACTGGTCAGTGGGAGAGAGGCTGGGGTCCCAAAGGCTGGGGGCGTTGCCCACTGTCATCAACAAGTCCCGATAGGCAGGGTCCAGGGGATGACAATTAGTGCCCCCCAGGCCCTGTGGACCCCCCAGCCCAGGAGAGGGCACCCAAGGCAGCCCTTGTCCCTAGCGGTGCCTCACCTCTTCCTGCAGCCTGTTCCCATCCAGCTCCAGCCCCGGGTCAGGTCTCCCTGTGGTCCCCCAGGGACCCGGCTGAGCCCTGTCACCAGCTCCTGCCTCACCCTCACCATTCAAAACCCTTCCCCCTACCCAGCCCCCCTGCTCGGCCTGGGACCTCTTTTCAGTTTTTTTGTTTGTTTTTATTGGTTTCAGAGAGGAAGGGAGAGGGAGAGGGAGAAGGAGAGAGAAACATCAACGATGAGAAGCCCGTACCCAGATGTCACACATAGTGGGTTCTTTCTAACACTAGCACGCCCCACACTGGGGATCAAGCCTCCTGCATGCCCCACACTGGGAATCAAGCCCGCAACCTGGGCATGTGCCCTGATGGGGAAGCAAACCATGACCTCCTGGTTCATAGGTCAACACTCAACCACTGAGCCACTCCTGCCCTGGAGCCTCTGTGCTGGTCTCCTCCTTCCCCTGGCACTCCTTCCAGTCCCCCTGATCACTCCCTCCCCACACTGTAGACCACCTTGGGCCCAGGCAAGACAGTCCCCCACTTTGTGCACCTCTCCTCCCCCACAAAAGAGGACATGAAACTTGTCTCTCTTAAAGCAAGTCTGCTGAAGCCCTCCACTGCATGGCCGGCTGGCCTGGAGGAGACTACCTAATCAGAGAGCCCCCCGCCTTCCCACCGGCCCCTCAGCAAATGGCCAGCCCCAAAAGCACCAACTCTGCCCAGAAAATGGGGGAAAACCCATCAACCAACCCATTTTAGGAAGTGCTGGGAACTGGCACTCTGGGCAGGACCACCGACCAGAGACCCCCTGGCCTCTGCCTGCCAGAGCTACCTTACCTGCTCCAGGCTCTCCACGTCCGCCCGCAATCCCGACAGCAAGGGCACCTCCAGGACAGCCATGTTGGAGGACCCTGCATGCAGCCACCTTCCGATAAGAGGAGAACAGGCTCAAACTCAAGCCTCTGGTGGAATTCACGGCCCTCTCCACCCCCCACCGCCCCTCCACATGGCTGACGTCCTGCCCTGGTCCTCACTGGCAGGCCATCTGCACACACACGGTTTGCTGGTCATCCGTCAGCCTCTTTCATAGCTGAGACACTGGGGCCATAAGGAGAGGGCCTTGCTAAGGGCTCTGGGCCTGAGGGGAACCTAGTCACTCAGTGCCAGACCTCCATCTCCCCTTTTTTAACATGGGATGTGGCACTGGCCTCTGGGGCCTGCTGCCCTGTGCTGGGCGTTGGTGACAGGAGGGAGGCTGGCATTCAGAGAGGAACCTGCAGACTGCGGGTCCGAGAGTTCAGGGTGGCTACCACCCCTGGGAGGGTCGGGAGGCTCCCTGAGGATTGAGGCCTGAGAGAGCCCCTACCCAGGTGGCACACATCGTGGGTTCTTTCTGACACTGGCAGGCTGGGGGCCCAGGTCAGGGTAGGTGCCACTGTTTGGGCTCCCAAATTATTGGTGTTTGTAGCCAATACTGTCTCTGTCCGGGGGCTGGGACTGACACAAGCACAGGGCAGAAGGCCTCACCTGGTGCACACCTCCAGGGTCACCTGGTACTCCTGGTGATGCAGGTCGGCTGCTGGGTCGTCATCGTCAGCTGAGGGTGCTGGTGCCGGGGGCCGGGGCCGCTCAGCCTCGGGCTCCCGGAGGTTCACGAACAGCTGGAAGGACGGCTTGGCCACTGGGTCTGGCACATTGTAGCTGACATCAATCTGGGGTGGGGGCGGTGAGAAGACCGAGTCTGGGGGCTCTGGGAGTGTGTGTGTGTGTGGGAGGGGGCAGGGCAGGGACAGATGGGAGAGGACAGGATGACGATGACAGTGACATCAGCAACAGTTCCAGGGACTACGGTTACCCATTTAGCTTTGAAATGCCCAAAGCTGTTTAAACAGACCACCATCCCCTTTTTACAGGCCTCAAGCCAGGTCTGCCCGCCCCAGGTCTCTCTCTTCTACCTCCGCTGAGACCACGGTGCCATCTGGGCTCCCACTTTAGAGATGGGAAGGCTGAGGCTGCGAAGGTCTCCAGGCAGACTTGCCTTCTCCCCACTCTCCAGAGCCCGTGAGGCCATCCTGCCCCAGCCCAGAGCTCAGCTAAACCTCAGGACCTGGCGACAGAGGGGCTGTAGGGAGGGCCAGGGGGAAGCCAGTCAAACGGATCTTTCTAGAGGGACCCGATACCCAAGGGGACACATGGTCACCTTCGTTGGGCCCTGCCTTGGGCAGGGCGGACTGTCGATGGGGTGCTGACAGTCTGTCCTGGGGTCTCTCTCACATACCCACCTCACATGCAGAGCTCAGAGCTGTGGCCCACCCCTCCCAGGGTCCCGGGTTCCAGATGCCCCTGTGAGCACCCTCACCTGCATCAGGCAGCAGCCTTCACCCTTGGCACTCACAAACAGCCCGGTGGGGAGGCTGGGGATCTGGGGAGAGAGGACACCGTGATCCCCCCGCAGACACACATGGGTGGGCAGGCAGCTGCCCCCACTCCCAGCCCTGGGAGCACTCACCACGGCCGTCTGCAGGACCTTCTGGTTGGCCCTGTGCAGCTCGAAGGTCTCCTGGTAGTCCAGGTTGGTGGAGGCCAGTGAGACGGTGAGGTTGACGCTGCCAGCGTAGGACAGGATGGCATACTCTGCCAAGGCCTGCAGAGCCACACAGGTGTCCTGGGGACAGAAGGGGAAGCTGCCCTCAGCGCCATGACCAGGCTGGCCAGCAGCCCCTCGGCTCCCCCTCCTGGACGGTGCTGACCCTGCCCAGACCCCAGCCCCTTTCCTGGCCCTGCCCAGCTCGCCTGAGTGGAGGAGAAGCCCCCCAGGGCGTTCCGCTGCTGGGACAGCCACTTCACCACGGGCAGGGCTGCGGCCACGTCGCCCAGGAGGGTGTAGGTCAGCAGGGCGTAGGCAGTCATCTCCACATCCGCCGAGACCACTGCAACGGGAAAGGTGGCCGCCAGGACCCAAACCCTAGGGCCCATGGCAGGCAGCAGGGGAGGGGCTGGCAGTACCTGCCTGGGGTGCCCCGTCGCTGAAGCTCAGGAAGGTGTCCTTGCCCCGATCCTGGGAACCCGTCAGGCTCCAGTGGGTGACCCCGTCTGCAAGGCCAGGACGGATGAGGGCCACACCCCAGGGCGTTCAGCCTGGCATCCCAGGGTGGGCATCAGGGCACGTGGTCTCAAGAAGAGGCCCAAAGGCTGGGCCCCAGTGTGGGGAGGGAGCCCGGCAGCGATGCGGGGACAGGACGGGCCTTGGGGCTGTCTCAGATCGCAACTACATGACAGACCTCGCCTTCCTGTACCCCTGGCGGCATCACTAACCAATGGCCTCCCTCCTGGCTAAGCCATGATGTGTCCCAGGAAGCCACTCCCCACTTGCAAAGGCTCCGTCCTATGAGCTGTGAAAGGCCTTTAAACCCTGAACAAACCAGGCACCCCCGCCCCCCATCCCTGCATTTAGTCCCAAATAGACACCAAGCAGCTAAATGACTGCTCTCAGAGTTTTGCTTTCTTTTTTCCTCCCTTAAGTAGCAAAAACAACTTTGCAGGGGATGTCTGGAGGAGAAAAGCCAGGATGGAGGCTCAGCCCCAGCACAGCTGCTGGGAATACGGGGGGAGGCGGGAGTGGGGGCAGTGAAGGGGAGGGGACTAGTGTGGGGGCATTCAGAGAGGTCACAGGTCAGTGGTGACTGGCACTCCTGGGACACAGTGGGTAGTCATTTTGTAGTTGGGGAGACTGACACCCTGAAGACAGAAAGGCTGCCTGAAGCTCACCCGGTGATGGGAGTGGGGTGAGGACCAGCCCCTGCCAGGGGTGATTTAAGGAAGCCTGGGGGACCCTCTGCTGGGGATCCCTGAGCAGTGTCCTCCCTGGTGGAGGGTGGGGGTCAGTGTTCCCTATTTCCTGGGGGGAGCAAGTGATACTCAGGCTCAATCCACGTCATCAAATGACGTCACTAGGAGATGCAATAATAAGTGAATAATCCAACCAAGTAAAGTGAGCACGAGATGCCTCCTTATTCCCATCACATGTGTCCATGCACTGTTCCCTGGGGTGGCAGGCGCGGGACACCTACCCTGCGTGATGGCCAGGCCGTGGAGCTTCCGCAGGGCCACGGCGGCTGCCGGGCTGCGGAGCAGGGTCAGCGCGTAGGCAGTCAGGGAGCTGGTGTAGGGGTCCGAGGCCAGGGCCACGCTGGACTCCAGGAAGTGCCGCGCTCTGGCAATGGCACCCCTCTCCTCCTGGGGGAGGGGGTGTGGAACATGCAGCCCTGAGAGATCACTCTGCCCCACCCCCACTCCCCACCCAGCACCCCCACCTGCGTGCCAGGGGACAGCGCCAGGTGGCTCACAGCCCCTTGCTTTTATGTTGGTGCCAGCATTTCCCGAATGAAGTCTGAGCACAGAGATCAACCCAGAGCAGCTCTGGGGACACGGGCAGAGCGCTGGCCGCCCACCCACCTCCCCTCGTCACCACGCGGGACTCTGAGTCCCACTGCTCGGCTTTTCAAGGCCTCGAATCAACGGTCGCCTCCTCCAGAGAGTCCACCAGCCCTGCTCACACTCACCCACCCGCCCCCACCCGCCAGTGTGAGTTGCTGGAGGACGGAAACCCAGTTTACTGCCCAGTGATGGGCTAGGTTCAGGGAAACTGCCTCAAAATAATGGTTAGACGGAGAAATGAGTGATTGGAAGCATTTAAGAATTAGCAAGTGAGCCATGTGTTCCCGCGGGCACCGGGGGAGCCTTGGAGTTAAGCTGACTCCGCTTTAGTGTCATGAAGACCGCAGAAGGCAGCTCTCCCCAAGCTTCCCATCTTCAGACCAGGACAGAGCGTGGGGGCTGCTGTGAAGGTGCGGTGTCCAGATGCACCCTGTACCTTCCGGGGCAGGTGCCAGGGATGACACAGCAGGGGACCCGGACCCAGACCCAGGCCTGGCCCGTGCAGGCCAGCAGGGGAACCCCCTCCCCCGTTCCTCCCGCCTGATCTCTGGGCCCCTGCGCTCACCTCCGAGGCCACATCCGTCTCCAGAAGTGCAGCCACCACATAGGCCGTCAGCGGGACTGCGCCATGGATCCCGCCCTGCAGGAGGATTCTTGGCTGCACCCCGACCAGAGGGGCAGCCCTCACCGCAGGCCCGGCAGCACCAGGGCAGGCAGGGCAGGGCCAGGGTCCGAAAGGAGGCCCGGAGGCCGCTCACCTGGATGTCCTTGTTCAGAATCCTGCCTGTGGCTGGGAAGGAGCCGTCCACCTGCTGCTGCCGCATGATCCAGCCCTTGGCGGCCGCCAGCTCCCGGGGGTCAATGAAGATGAAGCTTCGCGCCTGGGCAAAGGACTTCAGGACAAAGGCTGTGAGCCTGAAACAGCACCAAAGGGGCTGGGAGGTGCAGAGCAGGGTCGCCTCCCGCGTGCCCGCTTGGGGACTGGGGGATGCCCCCGAATCCCTCTGAGCCTCCACCTCCTCATCGGTGAGACAGGTGAGCCCAGTCTGCCCGTCTGTCCGGGGCGGCTGAGAGCGCTCAGGGAAAGTGTGTGGGCACCAGCTGGCCCAGTGATGGAGCCAGTCTCCTTGCCAGGCCCTCTCTCTCCGGCACCCAAGCCCTCCTACAGACTGGCCCAGCCCCACCTCCCCTGCCATGTGCATCCATGGTAAAGCTAAGACCGCGGCCTGGCACACAGGAGCACCCACTAAGTGAACAAGTGAATGAGCAAATGAATGAATGAACATGCAGTGAATGCATAGGTGCCTGGGAAGCTATCTGTAACTGATCCCGAGTTTTAAGGCTTTGAGGCTGGGTCCTCCCCGTCAAGTATTTAGGGAGAAGCACTAAGGATTGTCCGTCCCGATGGATACCGGCTCTGTGCTGAGCACACACACATCCTATCCCACTGTTTCTTGGATCCCGGTCCTGGATGTATAGTGAGGAAACAGGCTCAGAGAGGTTGGGCACCTGCTCTAAGGGCACACAGCTCACAAGGGACACAGCCCCGTTTTCCCAGCCCCAGGTGGATGCCGTGCCCCTGCCTGTGCTTCCTGTAGCCTCACCCTAAAGAGCTCTTCACAGGGGAGGGCGAGGGAGAGGCCTCTGAGTGTCACGTGGCAACCACAGGGGACCTGGTCTTGCTCACGGTGTGCGTGTCCACAGGGGAAGGTGTGTGATGAGTCACAGCTCACTGTTCCTGACCGGCAGAGACCCTGGGGGCTACTGGGGCTTGGCCAGCTTCTGAAGAAGGAGCCAATGGCTCTGGCCACCGGGGGCGGTGTTACCGTGGCCGTGCATCAAGGGCCATCAGCACATCAGGGCCCTGGGACCAGAACTGGGACAGTAGACAGGCTGCTGGGGGATGGGAGACTGGGCAGGTCTGGAGCCACGTGAGCAGCTCCGTCACCGCAGGGCTCAGCTGGGCGTGTCCTGCTCCCCTGGGCCTAGGCACCGCGGTTGTGCAGTGGACGCTGTCGGCTTAAGGGCAGGGCATCTCCACACACACAGCTGCTGCAGGTGCCGCCAGGCTGGTGCTTTGGGAGGAGGGCCCCTGGGGACAGTTGGGGGTGCCCTACAGTCTGTGGCCGGGGCAAATCCACAGACTGTCATGGTCCGAGGATCCCCGGGAACAAGACCCGGGTCTGCCCAGCCCCCCACTGGGCCTGCCCTGGTCACTCCAAAAGTCAGAGGGAGCCCCTTGCCAGGGAAACCGGATGCCAGGCCATTCCTCCTAAGCACCCAACCCAGACCTCTCCATCCCCATCCTCAGGTCCAGGGCGCCCGAAGGAGGCCCAGAGCGCCCAGGCCTGTTCCCAAAAGGCCGGAGAACCAGGGGGTCCGGGTCCCAGGGGCTGCGGCCACAGCAGCAGAAAGAGTAACAGTAGCTCCCACCACCCACACCGCACCCAGGGCCAGGCAGAGCCTCCACTTGCCAGGCAGGCTACGTGTCACCCTGGGGTCAGGCCCCGAGTCCTGGCCTCGCCGTGCTGGACGAGGCCCTCTGTGGCAGCGCCGGGCGTGGGACTCACCACATGCTCCCTGAGGCGTCCCGCTCCCCGAAAGCACTGTAGGCGCCATCTCGGTGCTTATAGGTCAGCTGCCGCTGGTAGCCTGTGGGACAAGCAGAGGTGATGGCATCCTCTGCTGAACGGCCTGGCCCGGGCCGGCCCATGTCCCACCCTGGGAACCACAGACCATGCCACAGCCACATCGGGGATCCTTGAAACTGCCCCATCACAGCAGGGCTGGCCAATGTGCACCATCTCGGGGCAACGCCCGCCCTCCATCCCCAGAGGTGGGGACTGCTCCGCCCAATGGAGACGCCACAGTGACCAAAGCAGGAGAGTGACGGGGACAGAAGGGAAGGAGGGAGGGAAGTCAGGCAACTAGGGGGCCTCCAAGCTGGGCATCAGGTCTTATTGTAAGGCCAGCAGGGGGCATGGGCAGTGCAAGCCCTGCAAGCGATTACAAATTGATCAGATCATGAGACTCAGAAATTCCACTCCAGCGATCTTCCGTGTGTCTTTACCCAGCCCAGGAATGGGACGGTGGGTGGCAGCACCATCTAAGGGTCCCGAGCTGGAGACCGCTGCTTGCCCATCAGCACGCACATCGTGGTCCCTTTACACAGCAACGGGAGGTGAAAGGACCCCGCGTCCCCCAGCTCAGGGAGCAACTCTCTCTCTCTCTCTCTCTCTCTCTCACACACACACACACACACACACACACACACACACACGGCGCAGGCAGGAGCACGCTGTGGATGCCCTGGTCAGAGCGCCAAGAGCAGAAAGCTAATCTGTGCTACTCAGGGCAGGAAAGTAAACCCAGATCCAACTCCGATATTTTATAGGACTTTTTCTATTCTAAATGTGTGTGTTTTTAAATATTACTAGAGGCCGGGTGCACGAAATTCATGCACAGGAGGGGTCCCTCAGCCCAACTGCACCCTCTCCAATCCAGGACCCCTCAGGGGATGTCCGACTGCTGGTTTAGGCCCGATCCTAATTGCTCACTTGCCTGCCTGACTGATCGCCCCCTACCTGCTCTACCCTGCCGGCCAGATCACCCCTAACTGCCTCAGCCCCCGCCACTGTGGCTTTGTCTGGAAGGACGTCTAGAAGACGTCCAGTCTACCCCATCTAATTAGCATATTACCCTTTTATTAGTATAGATTATATTGCTCTTGTTGGTTAAAAAAAAAGTCTACATTTTTAAAAGATTCTGTTCTTTCCCCTGGCTGACTACCAGTACTCAGAGCCTTGTCCTCACAGGTGTGGCCCCAGCTCTGCTGACAGTGGCCTCACTCAGCCACTTCCTTCCCTCCCCCCATCTACTGTGCCTGGCATGCGGGCCACCCCAGCAGTCATGGCTGCCTTCCTCCCCACACCCTCAACCAGTTCCCCCAGTACCTTGTACCAGGTGATCAGTGGTCTCCCTTTCCACTTCGGGGCTGAGCTGCCGGGTTTTCTGAAGATACTTCAGGACAAAGACATTGGGCGCAAAGTGGATCATGTTTTGCTCTCCGCAGCCAAAGGGCAGCCGCAGGAGGCTGCTGAGGTGGCTCAGGGTGGGCCCCATGACGTCTCCTGGGGAGAAGGAAAGGAAGGCTGGGCTGGGGCCCGGCCTTGCCAGGGTCCTCGCTGTCTTTGGGGCAGCTTTGCAGAGATGGGAGCCCACCTGTGGCCTAACAGTGGCCACCCCCACCTCCGAATGCTAGTGCTGCCATTTGACACTGGACTGCACCCTGTCCAGTCAGCCCACCTGACCTACCAGCTCTGGTGGCCACCTCATACACACCTCCCTGTGTTCCTTAGCTTGAACTCAGGTGTTCTTTCTCTGCCTTTTCATTACACTAAATGCTTTTTGCTTTCTGGCTTTTTAAACAGGTACATTCAAGGCTATGAATTTCCCTCAAAGTATGATTTTGCTGCACCTCACAAATAATAATGCATCAATACAGCCATTTAGATTTCTAAATCATTCTAAATATTTTTTCTAACTTTTAATAAAAAAGGTGATTTTTAAAAATTGCTTTTAGAGAGAGGAAAGGAGAGAGAGCAAGAGAAAATCAATTTATTTTTCCACTGATTTATGCATTCATTTGTTGATTCTTTTTTTTAATATGCTTTTATTGATTTCAGAGAGAGGAAGAGAGATAGAAACATCAATGATGACAGAGAATCATTGATCGGCTGCCTGCTGCAGGTCCTCTATTGGGGATTGAGCCTGCAACCCAGGTATGTGCCCTGACAGGGATTGAACTGTGATCTCCTTTGTTCATAGATCAATGCTCAACCACTAAGCCACACCAGCTGGGCCATTGGTTGATCTTGTATGTGCCCTGACGGAACCCACACCCCTGGCTGATGGGGCTGCTGCTCTAACCAACTGTGCTACACGGCCAGGGCAGTATTTGGATTTTTAATAAAAGTTTCCATACATGTCAGTGCATTTAAAAATTTTTTTCTTTTACTTCCGGTCCTTATTCTCATCCTTTCACACTGTGTCTTCCTCTTCTCGGCCTCTCTGTCCCCAAAATTGCTGAGGGGCCCTCCAGAATCCCCACTGTTCCCTGGTCGCACCTCCTTTCCTTCCTTGGTCTTTCCTCCTGTCCCACTGTGGCTGCCACCGCTTCTGGGGCCTTCTCCGTGGAGGGGCTGCCTGGCTACTTTCTCATCGACCCCCTCTGGGTTCCCTGCGTCCTCTCTGCCCTCTGCCCTCTTGTGCGGAAGGCACTGGCACCGGGGTCAGCCTTCCCCTCCTCTCCACCTCGGCCCACATGCCTCCCCACCTATGCCCTTCACCTCCATTTGGGCCACGAACCCTCCCAGCCACCTCTAACTTCACCTTGTACCTCAGAAATCATCAACTCCAATATCTTCTGATCCAGCCACAGCCATCAACCCTGAGCCTCAGGGCTTCCACTCTCTGATGTCAGACCTAAGACCCCCTCGGTCAGGCCTGTCTGCCCGCTCCTGGCCTCTCCCCCTCCCCACCCTTCCAGCTCCCAACAGAAGATGGATCACACAGTGCCTACTTCCCACTCCCATGCCTGAGCTACAGAAGACAGTCCACAGCCCTAGAGGCTCCGGTCACAGCTTCTTGCCCCTGTTCAGCCAACGTTCTAGATGCCTGCGCCTCTCACCAGGACCCCCACGCCCCTCCCTGTACCCGGCTGGTTTCACCTGGCCGTTTGGCCTTCTTTGCCCATTGCCCCAGCTCCATTGCCTCTGGAGTTTATCACCTGCCCCTTGGGGTCACCCTACACAGGGCTTGGACCGGGTAGGCTGGACCTGTCTTCTCGGCCAGACAAGGCGCTCTTCAAGGGTAGGTTTGGGATCACCTCTGGGACTGTCCCCAGAGCCCAGCATGGAGAAGGCACTAGAAACTACTTGTCAGGTGAGAGTGGGTGTATGGCTGGAGGCCCTAGGGGCACAGGTTCCCAGCAGAGCCCAGTGTGACCTGAACCTGAAGTGGCCACCTGGCCCTCGGGCTCCGGCCCCATCCTCCCGAGCCAAGCTGTGGAGCTGGCACACCTATGAGGGAAGCGGCCGCCCGCTCCGAGCCAGGGATGGCGCTGGGTGGGACCCCCAGGGTGAAGGCCTCGCTGTAGCTCTCATCCGCCTCCATCTTCCTCCAGATGCGGAACTCGCCCACGGAGCCCCAGCCGGTGGAGAAGCCAATGAACTGCACATCTGGGGCCTTGGGGAGGGTCCAGGTCATGATGACAGACTCGTTGGATGGCTCTGGGCCGTACCCAACCTGCAAGGAAGAGGCCACGGCTGCTGGAAGCTGGGAGAAAGCACGCAGTGGCACTCAGGCAGCAGCAACACTGGCTACCGGGTCCAGGTCAGAGAAACCAGAGGTTATCCTATCCATTGAATGGCCAACAGAGACACAGCACGGCATCTACAGGTCCCGAGGTGACCCGGCTCCCTGGAACCTCTGGGCCTTTGCACATGCTGTTCCCTCTGCCAGGAACATCCTTCACCCTGGTTTGCTCAATGGCCTATGTCCCTCCTCTAGGAAGCTGTGTTAGCTGTTCCTTTTCTATGGCCCCCCTCCTTGGATCACAAAGTACCCTGAGCCCCTTTTTGACCTGGTCACATCCACTTTCTTTCTACCTAACCACCCACCACCGCTCAGCTCCCAGATCCCCAGGCGCTTCCTCTGCCAGAGCTCTCACCACAACTCCAGGTGGACTGTGAGAAACTCGAGGTGCCGCCCTGTGTCCACCCTCCTCCTCCCCAGCCCTCCTCAGAGCCACACACAGAGCGGGAAGCAGTAAAGGTCAAAGAACCACGCGGTTCCCATGCCCAGCCAGGCCAGCCCAGCCGTGCCTCGATGAGCCCGCCGTGCCAGCTGATCCAAAACGTTCGGAACTCATCCCAGGAGAGGATCTTGGCCGTGTGTGTGCCGGCCACGGGCTCGCCCATCTTGCTGGTGGAGATCCAGGACCTGGTGTTCTGGTGTCCCCCTAGGACGATCTCAACCATCTCTGCGGTGTCTTGGGGCCCGGGGGACAAGGCCACGCGGGCGTCGTTGTGGGCTCGCACGGCCAGGTCGAAACGCGTGAGGCGCTGTGGCCGCTGCACGTACTGGAACTCGTACTTGTTGGGCGTGGAGATATGAACTCTCTCTGGATGGAGGAAAGGAAGAGGGGGCATTGTGGGTCGCCTGAAGGCCCCCGCCTCCCTGTTGCCTGCTCCTGGAGCCGAGAATGGGGACAATGGGGAGTGGGTCTCACTGTGGCTCGGCCAGCAGCTGCAGAGGCATGGCTGCTGCTGGCTTAATGACGGCTGTGCCAACAGCACAGGAAAGAAGACGTGCTCTCAGGGATACTTCCTGCAAAAGATGCACAAGACCTGTGCCCTGGGAACTGGAAATGCTACTGAAACTAAGACAGACCCAAGTCAGTAGGGAGCCAGATATGTTCATGGGTCTGAAGACAATATTTCGAGACACTAATCTACAGATGTGATATCATCCCAACAAAACCCCAGCAGGGTCTTTGGAGAAATTGCAAAGCTGATTCTACATGGAAACGCAAGACCTAGAAGAAGCAAAACAACTTTAATAAGAAAGAATCGAGTTGGAGGACTCACCCCATATGACACTGAGACTAAAGCTACAGGAATAGCCCGGCTGGTGTGGCCCAGTGGTTGATCATCGCCCTATGAACCAGGAAGTCATGGTTTGATTCCCGGTTCAGGGCACATGCCTGGGTTGCAATCCCTCCGCCCCCCAGTAGGGGGCATGCAGGAGGTGGCTGATAAATGATTCTCTCTCATCATCGATGTTTCTATCTCTTTCTCCCTTCCTCTCTGAAATCAATAAAAAAAATAAGCCTCCCGCACACCCCACACTGGGGATCGAGCCCGCAACCCAGGCATGTGCCCTTGACCGGAATCGAACCCGGGACCCTTCAGTCCACAGACTGACGCTCTATCCACTGAGCCAAACCAGCTAGGGCAAATATATATGTATTTTTTTTTAATTCTAAAAAAAATAAAATAAAACTACAGGAATCACCAGAGTGTAGCTGTGCTGTCAACATAGACAAATCCTCAATGGAACAGAACAGGGAGTCCAGAAATAGACACACACACATGTCTGAACAACTGACTTTCAACAAAGCTGTGAAGGCAATCCCACAGGGAAAGAAAAGTCTTTTCAAGAAATGGTGCTAGAGCCCTGGCCGGTACTCAGTGGGTTAGAGAGAGAGAAACTTACTTGTTGTTCCACTTATTTATACATTCATTGGTTGATTCTTGTACATGCTCTGACAAGGGATTGAACCCACAACCTTGGCATATCGGGATGACGCTCTAACCAGGCATAAATGCTAATTTAAGGGGCGTCAAGGTAGACCCCGGACCCCCACCCTCTGGAACTCACTTTAATTTCCCATGTCCTCCTCTGCTGCACCAAGGTCTGGGTCTCCCTAATTCCTCAGTGCCACTCTAACACCCCTTCCCTGGACCCTGGGCTCTACTCCTGCCCACAGTCACTTTTCTTGTTGGCATCGACAGTCTGCAATTGGGTACATTCACTTCCTGTGTGGCAGGTGCCCAGCCCTCACTCTGGTTCATGGCTGTCCCCAGACAGAACATCTCAGTTCTCTGCTGCTGGGTCCTCAGCCCCCAGGGAGGGTGGCTGTCTACTTAGCAGCTGGAGAGCTGCGACACTGCAGGGGTAAGGGCCGAAGTCCTCAGGGGGTGGGGCCGGGGACTCACCGTTGGGACAGAAGAAAGCACTGTAGGTGTACGTGCGGGGAGCTCCTTCGGGCTGAAACAGAGAAATGGGGAAACAGCGTTGGCTGGCGGTCAGGAGAGGGTGCAGTGTCCTCCCAGGGCAGCGGCTCCAGCTCTGGACACTGCAGGGTGATGCCAACCTCACAGGTACACAGACAAGGCCTGGGCTGCCCACCTCCCAGGCCCAGGTGGGGAAACTGAGGCTCCCGCCCCCTTCCCTGGGCTCTAGTCAAACAAACTCACCAACCAATCCTGGACTTGCCATGCTCCCCACGCTCCCACTGGCCCTCCTGGCCGCCCTCTTCCACGGGCTGCCAGCCCAGTGTCCCTCTGGGGGTGGGGAGCACTATGCCTTGAAGGCTGCCGTGACCGAAGGCCCCACCTGACGCCCCTCAGCACCCAGAAGGGGAGGCCACGGAGAGGGGCCAGATGCTGCAGCCTTCTGGCGAGGGGCCCCCTCACCTGTCCAGGGCCCCCAGGGCCCCGAGGCCCTGCTGAAAGAAACCAGGGAGGTCCCAGGGAGCCGAGCCCTGACCCGGTGCCCTGGGCGAGGGCGTGGGCTCACCTCCACGATCACGCTGCGCCGGACGTGGTCCCTCCCGGCGGGGACCCTCCCGTCAGCGTAGCTCTCCTCGGCCTGTTTGCTGGGCTTCCCGTCCCGGCAGCAGCTTGTTTCTCCGTAAGCCAGGACTTTGGCTGCAGAGATCTGAGTGCTCAGTGCTGCTCTCAGAGCAGGGAACTGTCCTGCCCCCCTTGTAACATTCATGCACATGTATGTGTGCGCATGCACGCACACGTGAAAGCTGCATGGTGTATATGTGCGTGTGCACGTGTGTGTCTGTGCATGCATGTGTTTGTGTGCATGCATGTGTGTGTTTGTACTTGCATGCATGCACACGTGTGTGCTACACTGGTTTGGTGCCTTAAGAACCCGGCTCTAGCAGGTAAGGCCTCAAGCCCCACCCTCAGGGGCCGCCTCCCCCATGTCCTGACCATTCCCTCTGGCCGGCCTCCCCAGCTACTTTCCTGCCCTTCAGGAGGGCCCTCCCTCCACCCCACACCTCGCCCCTGCGTGGCCTGGAGTGGGTGCCCAAAGAGCAGGGCCCTCACCTGTGATGTTGCTGAGCCCCAGGTCGCTGAAGGACAGGACCACCCAGATGGGCTCCGTCTCCCCAGAGGCCACGCACAGCTTCTTGGTCAGATGACGTTTGCCGGGATGCCCGACAAACCGGGTGCCCTTGGGAACGGAGATCTTCACGTACACCTGCAGGGGGTGGGCTCATGGTGCCCCGAGTCTGTGCGACCCCCAGCACACCCCACCACCCGCCGCCACCGTCAGCCTGCCAGCCCTCCCCCAAAACCGTGCCTCCTTGGAAGCCCCCTTTCCAGTTCTAACCAGAACCTGTACTCACAGTGTCCTGCTGGGAGCCCCCTTCCCCCCTCAGCTCCCCACATCCCCCAGGTCTAGTTCCCCCCTCAGACCAAGACCAGTTCAAGAGCAACCTCTCCACAGCCACCCCGGGGCATCGAGTGATGAGCCGCTCCCCATGCAGGCCCCACAGAGCAGCCCTCTGAGACTCTCCAACCACCGAGGCTACAGCATCCTAACAGCTCTGTGTGCGCATGCGTGTGCACCATGTGTCTCTATAACCCCAAATCTAGGACAGGCTCTTTGCTCCCCATCTGCTTGTTCGGCCAGCAGGTATGAAGTACCTCGTGGGTGCAGGTGCCCTGCTAGGAGCTAAAGAAACAGAACTCAGTGAACCACGGAGCCTGTGGGAGTGAGCGGGACCAGGCTGAACTCACACACCCAGTTTACAGATAGGAAAACTGAGGCAGAACGGCTGGTAGTTTAGCCAAGCTAAAGCCCAGAGGGTCCTCTGAGGAAAGGGAGGCACAGGTGTGCTGAGACCACGTCCCAACCCCCAGCAGCCTCGGCGCCCTTCAGCTCACAAATTCCAACCCCTCCCTCGACAGATGTCCTCATTTTTCAGGAAAAGCCAGCAATCTGTTTGGGGGGAGTAACCTCTCTTGGTTTCTACAGTGTCTCTGTTTTGGGGCCACAGCTCACATCTTCTGTTGTCCGTGTGAAATAAGCCAGAAGCCTTGGGGGACACTGTGCACCTGGGCAGGGTCTGGAGGAGGCCAGCCGTGTCCCCAGCGCCCCGCTGGCCGGGGTGAGGCTGACACCGAGCTGGACTCCTGACCCTGTGCCCCGCCTACCGCTCTGCCCCGGCCCCAGTTTATAATCGCTGCCCCCGAGAGCTGACTCTAACCATGGGGAGCCCTCCTCGCCTCCCTTCCTCTCACCCTCCAGCTGGCATCCAGGCTGAGACGGGGCTCAAAGATGACAAGGTCAGGGAGGATGGGGGCCCCTGGCCTCCCCAAGCTGCACCAAATCAGAGCCCCCCAAACACCCTTTCCCCACTGTGCCCCTACCAGATCCTGGCCCTGCAGGGCCCCTCCACCTCACCTGCTGTCCTTCCCTGTCACCAGGTTCTGAAATCCCTCAGCCTCCAAGGTCAGCCTCCTCCAGGGCAGCTGCTATGGGTCGAACTGTGTCCCCCCAAAAGATATGCTGATGCTCTAACCCCCACTACCTGTAATCGTGACCTTATTTGGAAACAGGGTCATCAAATTACAATGAGACCCTAATCCAACATGACTGGGGTCCTTCCTTATAGCATTTGGACGCAGACATTCACAGAAGGAAGCGGGCCACATGAAGACAGGGGCAGAGATGGGAGCTACGCAGCCACAGGCAAGAGGAACACAAGGGTTGCAGCAGCCACCAGAGGCCTGGAGAGCCAGGCAACACTGTCCCTCAGAGCCTCACAGGGTCATCAAATTACAATGAGACCCTAATCCGACATGACTGGGGTCCTTCCTTATAATATTTGGACGCAGACGTTCACAGAGGGAAGGTGGCCACGTGAAGACAGGGGCAGAGATGGGAGCGCCGCAGCCACAGGCAAGAGGAACACAAGGGTTTCGGCAGCCACCAGAGGCCAGGAGAGCAATGATGGGCTCAGAGCCACTGTCCCTCAGAGCCTCTAGAACAGTGGTTATCAACCTTCTGGCCCTTTAAATACATGTTGTGACCCAACCATAACATTATTTTCGTTGCTACTTCATAACTGTAATGTTGCTACTGTTATGAATCGTGATGTAAATATCTGATATGCAGGATGGTCTTAGGCGGCCCCTGTGAAAGGGTCATTCGACCGCCAAAGGGGTCGCGACCCACAGGTGGAGA